CGCGCCGCCCCCACCTCACCCCTCGCTAAGCGGTGCGCTATTAGTGTCCCAGTTGTGTCCCCCGACGTGTCCCCCAGGGCTGCGCTTGGCCCCCCGGACGCCTATGCTCCTCTCTCTCGGTGAATGCGCCTCCTTGGCCCGGGTCTGCGCTTCCGTGCGTCCCAACGCTGCGCTTCGGGGCCGTCCTCAGTCATGCGAAAAAGCCTATATCCTAGAGATGGGTATATTTTTATCACGTTCGTTTCTTGTGACTTAAATGAGGACTAAATGTAGTATTTTGTGCGAGATGTTGAGACTGTACATAGTTGATTAGTGACTCTGTTAGAAAATGTAACTGTACGGTGATACCATAACTCTAAGCTTTTCTCGTCTGAAATAGTTTTGTGTTGATTGGTTGTATGGATCAAGATGCATCGCACTTTGGATTACTCAATACAATACACAAATAAACTTGCCGGTTCAAGTGTCAAGTACATAGTGGCCCCTCTATTTGCGTCGTACGATCATTTCTAAAAGCACCCGTCGTTAAAAATAATTGCCCCACCCCCTCTCCTAAACAAACTACAAATTTTGCGCACAGCCCCTGCTCGTGGCGCTCACGCCACGCTTCGCCACGCCACGAGTCCTCATCATCAGGAACAATGTGTCCTGTCCTGCTGCTGCACCGCGAGGACGGCGATTTCCCTCGAGTGCAACGACGGGGCGGGTGGGACGATGACGACGGGGGGCGTCGCGACGCTCAACAACAATGGTAGTCGTAACGTTGTGCGGGGCGCGAGCAGCGCTCTTATTTTTATTCTAACCATCCTCATATCCGCCCCCCCCCCTTCCCCTCCGGACGTGTGAATGGTCGTGTGTGTGTGTGTGTGTGTGTGTGTGTGTGTGTGTGTGTGTGTGTGTGTGTGTTTGTGTGCGTGCGACGCAAAAGTGAAGGTGATTCACCTCCCCGGGCCCCGCTGCGGTCCCAAGCGCCGCACACACGTACGTAGGCGCGTAGGCGCGCTGGCACATAATGGTATAATGGCTCGAGCTGCCCACGTGACTGGCGCAGCCCAGGCGCAGCCCGAGCGCAGCCCCGCGAGAGCCGCGCCCGCGCCGGCCGCCGCCATGCAGTGCGTGGTCGCGCGCGCCGCGCCCGCTGCACCGGCTTGGCTTGGCTCGGCTCGCCTTGGCTCGGCTCGGCTCCGACAAATAACGAACGTCCCCGGCAGAGCTGTGTAACGACCGCGGCTGCTCGATGCACAGCGTTGGGCCATCGACACCGCGGCCGCGCGCCCGGCCGGCGCCACCGTCACTGCATGCCCGGCAAAAGATAATAAAGACCAGCGTATTAGTGGAGCAGAGCGTCGTATGCCATTCGGCACGCCCATCAAGAGGCAAGAGGGGAACGCACGGAAATTATGTCATCTTCTGAGGGGAGAGCTAGTTGTTTGCGAAGCATTTGGCTGATTTGTAATAGAAAGCATTTGTTTCGTAGTATGACACAGCAAAGAGAAGTCGAATAGCCGAAAGCTTTGCCGCTTACAGACCATTTTTTGCTTTGGAATACAGAGGTTTCGACAGTTTAGCCACAGCGAAGCAGGTGATGAGGATAATAGCAGCTTGATTTGCCAGCAGGTATGGTAAATGTCACCGGCAGGTAGTGAATGTATCGTGGCCTTCCAAACACCTTTACAACCTCGAAATGAAGTGCTGTGGTCTAAAGGATGATGTAGTTTGTGTACGACCCCCGATGTCCGCGTCGCTCACACGGTCGCAGACATCGTAAGCCCGCCGCCGTCGTCGGCTGTGCTGCAAAGCGTTATACGACCTCTCGACTCTGCCATTTGCGCTCCACTTGACCCGTTTATAATTTTTCCTCCCATCCCCATCCCCCTCGCCCCGCCCCCCTCCTATTTTACCCCTTGTGCACGGAAAAAAATGAATTGGTCGTCAGAACTAAATATTAGTTAATTTCGTGACAATCG